ACTTCTTTCACCTGTCAATAGAACCCATTACATTAATATATTTCCCAATTTGTTGAATCAGTCATCATTTTTAGAATGTATTTTATTTAGCCATGTTGTTTTCTTTTTGAAATTCTTTAACTGGTTTTCTATGTATTTAGTATTTTCTATGTATATAATCATAATTGAAATTTGCCTATATATTTATTTTCATGCTTTGGTGTTTTGTTTGGGTATCAGAGTTATGGTGGTTCTTTATCATGCACTGACAACCTCTTGCTAATATCTGAAATTTACCTGTTTGCTTAAGGTTTTTCAAAACTGATACAACAAAGCTTTATGGCTCTGGAGTCTTATTTTCTTTTTAAAAATGCTTTTAGCTTCCTGAAACATTTAAATTTCAAATTTAAATAGACTTATATTTTATATATTAAGTAAAAGTATATCTTCATTATAGAAATCTCAAAAAATATAAAACCTGTGGTTGTCTCACTTACTCCTCAACTCTAACTCCCTTCCCAAGAGGTAATCTTTGTCAATACTTTGGTTAAAACCCTCTGTTACACTTAAAAGATTAAAGAATTAAAATCCCTCTCTATTGTTTACAAATATACAAATTACATAGTACTCTATATTTATTCACTATTATGTGGGTACAATCTTACCCATGCATTTACACACAATATAATGCAATATATTGTAGTAAATAATATAGTCTGTATTGCTATAAATTTTATGTGTGTGTGTGTGTGTGTGCATAAAAAGGTGGCACTTAAACACATATACTTCTACAGTGAGATTATACCATATGCATTGTTTAAATTGTGAAATGTGTGTGTGTGTGTGTGTGTATATGTGTATATATATATATATATATATATATATATATATACATAAAACTTACCACTTTAACCATTTTTAAATCTATAGTCCAGTGGCATGAAGCCTGTTCATACTGTTAGGGCATGAAGCCTGTTCACATCACCACCTTTCATCTTCAGAACTTTTTCATCTTGAAAACCAGAATCTCTGCACCCACTAAACAATAATACCTTGTTACTCTTTCCCCTGAATGGTAACCACCATTCTACTTTGTATCTGTGAACTTGACTCTTCTAGGTACCTCATATGAGTGGAATCATACGGTGTTTATCATTTTGTGACTGGCCTATTTCACTTAGCCCAATGTCTTCATGGTTAATCCATGTTGTAACAAGGCTGAAAAACAGTTGTAGGTACTTACTGTGATATTTATCCATTCATCTGTGGATAGATACTCATTGCTTCCACCTGTTGACTTTTGTGGGTAATGCTGCTATGAGCACAAATATACAAATATCTGAGTTGCTGCTTTCCATTCTTTGGGGTATATGCCCAGAAATGGAATTCCTGGGTCATTTGGCAGTTCCATGTTTAACATTTTGAGGAGTTGGTATACTGTCTTGCAAAGGGCTTACACCGGTTTTACATTCCTACCAGCAGTTCATGAGGGTTCCAGTTTCTTCATAACCTCACTTTTTATTTTTAAATAAAAAGGCTATTCTCATAGGTGTGAAATGGTATCTCATTGTGTTTATGATTTGCATTAACCTAGTAATTCACTAATTATCTCTAGGCATTAGTATTTGAATAATTTTATTTGTCTTTTTGTTTATTGAACATTTTTATATGCTTATTAGTCATTTGTATATCTGCCAGAGAAATGTCTTTCCAAGTCTTTTGCCCATTTTTTAAAAATGTTGTTTGTTTGTGGTTGAGTTGTAAGAGTTCTTTAGATATTAACCCTTTGTCCAATATGTGATTTAGATGGTTTCTCCCTTTCCATGGGATGCCTTTTTACTCTGTTGATAGTGGCCTAAAAGTTTAATTTTGATGTAGTCCAATCCTTTTTTTCCTTTGCTTCCTGTGTTTCTGGTGGCATATTCAAGAAATAATTGCCCATGTACATTGTTTTTAACTTGCCCTTTAAACTCATCAATATGTATGTATGGGGGCTGAGGTTGTGGCTCAGTGGTAGAGTGCTTGCCTGGCATGTGTGAGGCCCTGGGTTCAATCCTCAGCACTGCATATAAATAAATAAATAAATAAACAAACAAATAAATAAATAAATAAAGTTCCATTGACAGCTAAAAAATTTTTTTTTAAAAAATTTTAAAATAGTGTGTGTGCATATACATATACATATAAAATCTTTTCAAAGTAGCTCATATAGCTTCATGTCATTACATATCAGTTTCAGAGTATTCTATAGCATAGCTCTTGATTATTTAGCCTTTCTCATATTGATGAGCATTTAAATAAAGCTCATTCTTGCCTTTATGTGCATATATATTACAAACAAACAAATGAAAAATTTGTGAGGGATATTCATCAAAGTGATAGAAGTGATGGTCTCAGGGCATTTGGATTAGAAAGAGTTTTACTTTGTCTATTTGTTTATCTACATTGTTTGATTTCTCAATAATAAACAGGTATTTTATTTAATAAAAACTTATAAACTAATAAATATATTGACTTTTAAAATTTATTCTAATTTGTTATATAGGACAGCAGAATGCATTTCAATTCATATTACACATATAGAGGACAATTTTTCATGTCTCTGGTTGTACACAAAGAAGAATCACATCATTCATGTCTTCATACATTTACTTAGGGAAATAACATCCATCTCATTTCACTCTCTTCTCTACCCTCATGCCCTCTCCCTTCCACTCCCTCCCCTTTACCCTATCTAAAGTTCCTCCATTCCTCCCATGCTCCCCCCCCCAATCATTCCCATTATGGATCAGCATCCTCATATCAGAGAAAACATTCAGCATTAGTTTTTTTGGGATTGGCTTACTTCACTTAGCATAATATTTTCCAACTCCATCCACTTACCTGCAAATGCCATGATTTTATTCTCTTTTATTGCTGAGTAATATTCCATTGTGTATATATACCACATTTTCTTTATCCATTCATCTACTGAAATGCATCTATGTTGGTTCCACAATTCAGCTATTGTGAATCGTGCTGCGGTAAATATTGATGTGGCTGTGTCCCTGTAGTATGCTGTTTTTAAGACCTTTGGGTATAAACTGAGGAGTGGAATAGCTGGGTTAAATGGTGGTTCCATTCCCAGTTTTCCAAGAAATCTCCATACTGCTTTCCATATTGGCTGTACCAATTTGCAAATTTGCAGTCTCACCAACAATGTATAAATGTGAGTTTCTCCCCACATACACTTGTTGTTTGTATTCTTTTTTCTTTTTTTAATATCTCTCTCTCTCTCTCTCTCTCTCGTTGTTGTTTGAATTCTTAATAGCTACCATTCTGACTGGAGTGAGATCAAATTTTAGAGTAGTTTTGATTTGCATTTCTCTAATTGCTAAAGATGTTGAACATTTGTTCCTATATTTGTTGATTAATTGTATATCATCTTCTAAGAAGTGTCTGTTCAGTGTCTTGGCCCATTTATTGATTAGGTTATTCATTTTTTTGGTGTTAAGCTTTTTGAATTCTTTAGATACCCTAGAGATTAGTGCTCTATCTGATGTGTAAGGGGAAAAATTTTGCTCCCAAGATGTAGGCTCTTTATTCATCTCACAGATTGTTTCTTTTGCCGAGAAGAAGCTTTTTAGTTTGAATCCATCCCATTTATTGATTCCTTTTAAAAAAAAATTTTTTAGTTGTAGTTGGACACAATATCTTCATTTATTTGTATGTGGTGCTGAGGATCGAACCCAGTACCTCACACGTGGGAGGCAGGCGCTCTACCCGTGAGCTAAAGCCCCAGCCCTGATTCTTGATTTTATTTCTTGCACTATAGGAGTCTTATTAAGGAAGTCAGGGCCTAATCCAACATAATGGAGATTTGGGCCTCCTTTTTCTTCTGTTAGGCACAGGGTCTCTGGTTTAATTTCTAGGTACTTGATCCACTTTGAGTTGAGTTTTGTGCATGGTGAGAGGTAGGGTTTTGTTTAATCTTTTTTTAGTTGTAGATGGACACAATACCTTTATTTTATTTATTTATTTTCATGTGGTGCTGAGAATCGAACCCAGTGCCTCATATTTGCAAGGCAAGTGCTCTGCCACTGAGCCACAATCCCAGCCTGAGATAAGGGGTTTTTGTTCATCAGTTTCACACTGAAGAGTTTATTTAAAAAAATCATTTTCCATAAGTTAAGGATAAAAGAGTATCTACTGAAATCAATTCATATCAATGATAAGGTTCTAGTATTGATAGTATTACCAATCAGTGTGGAATTATTTTGCCCATTTGGGACAGAAATTATAAATACAAAGTATATCTCTTTTTGCTGTTACCAGCTATCAAGTTTACCAGTTAATTGGAGGGTTCTTTTGCTCAATTCAAGGTAGAAATCATGGAGAGACAAGAACCATCTGAAAGCAGCTTTGTTGCATTTTTGTGCTCAAGCACCAGGAAGACTATGCAGGGCCAGGGGCCTGGACTGGCCATGTCAGGATGCAAAGAGCAAAGCTTATGCAGACAAAAAGGGTGGGCTCATGCTGCACTAGCTGCTTGCACAGGATCTTGGTATTTCTGCACATATCAGATCTTTGCTTTGGCACTAGAGTTTGCACTTGACAGGGAATCTGCTCACATGAGTTGTGCCTCTGTACTCTAACATCAAAAGATGACAAAGGCATGCATTATCACCAAGTCCCAAGGGCATATATGAGTCAGGATTAGCCTATTGACTGTGCAGAGGTTGTGGGAAAGTTTGGGGGCAAAGTCACCACCAGCTCCTGAACCTGGACATTGGTGGAAACAATTCTTAAAAAGAAGCTTGCATTAGGCTGGATCTTGGTGGGATAATTAGTATCCTCCCTGCTCTGTCTCAGTTATAGACTAGTGGGATAAAATTTCACGTATGAACATAGATTATTAGATGGGCATAGAAAAATTAAATTATCAGAATATGTAATAGCAAACATGCACCCAGTTTTGATTGATTTCCTTGTTTTCATGGTTCTTTTTAGTTTTACTATATTTGTCTTAAATTGTTTTCTAGGAGAAGAAAACGTGATTGCTGTTCCTTTGGGAAGCAGAAGTGTGAGAATTACAGTCAAAGGACCTGCTCATCTCTGTAAGTAAAATTTAATCTAAATATTTTTAAAAATTCCCTGAGAGTCTATTTAGCAAAACACAAACATAAACAAAAACACAGAATATTCATGGTAGGTAGGGATTTTTTTTTTCTATTTTGAAATAGTCCGTATCACTAGGGAAATGATCTATGCTAATTTTCTGTTCTTATACCCAGTGAAAAAAATAACAGTTTGGGATTAATACTCCCATGGAAGAGGAAATTAAATTATAGGTGAAATGAACTATTCTTACATGGAGAATAAATATGAATTTAGGAGTCTTCTGGAGATGTCAACAGTTTGGGACACAAAGTTAAAACAAAACAAAGTTTAAAATTCAGAATCTCATCAATGACTTTGGCTGCCCAGGAAGGAGAGACTTTTCTACCAGTGCATGGCAACTTCTGGACAAGTGGACTCTGAAAGTGGACACAGGCTTCCCAGAATATGGGGAGTTTCATCAGTGGAGGGCTGCAAGGATATTGTTTCTATGCGAAGGTCAGATGGCATTTCCTCTGTCTCAATTTTTTTCTGATCTCTCAAAACTTGAAGGAAGTGGAAATGCCAGAGGTTATTTCCTGCTTTCCAAGGTATCCTTGTAGCCTCAAGCAGGATTTCTTAATTATATTCAAAAGAAGGTAGGTCTCTACTAGACTGGCCTCTGGCCTTGCAGCATCTTATTGGGTCTAGTGTTTGCCCATAGAAAGTACAAAATATATACCATTATAACTACTATCAAGCCACAAAGTCACACAATCAAGATCCACAGAACCCAAGTACGATATATCTGCCCTTTTATCCCCTGGGTCACTTTCTTAAGTTTTTAAATCATAAGATTTTCTTAGAGCCAGAAGCATCAAACATTTTTGGTAGTGTGACATGCATGCATGTGTAGAGGATCCAGAACTACTATTTCAGGCCCAAAAGTCCTCTGAGAAAAGTGTATAATAAAATGTTTAAATAATTAAAAATGTTTGGGGTCACTATCGGACTACAATCTTAAATAAAAAATTAATTATTTAGTACATTTGCTCTAAATAAAAGAAGAAAGAGACTATCTTGGTGACAGTGAAAGTGAAAAATTATTTAAAAGAGCTTGTTTACCCTTAACTTTATGTGAATGATTTTTTAAACAAAATCATTAAACTGTTTATAATCATGTCATGGTCACTTCATTCAAGGCTTTCTCTGGAATGAAACATCAAAACGTTTTTTAAATTTCCTTTTCTAAAAATTTATTTATTTATTCGAATTTGTTATATCTGACAGCAGAACGCACTTCAATTCATAGTACACATGTAGAGCACAATTTTTCATGTTTCCGGCTTTACACAAAAATGGTTTGAAAATACACAGCTCTTAATGGGAATAACTTCTTCCTTATAAATGCAAACTTGATTTTTGGAAACAGGTAAAAATCATTTAGATTCAAATTTTTGATTAAGAACATTGTGAAATATCATTTGGATTCAAAAGTATAAAGGGCTGAAAATTTATTATTTATAGTATCTATCAAGTAGTAACAACTCAAATGTTCATCAACTGTTGAATGGATAAATGTGTAATATAATTTGGCTTAAAAAGGGATGAAATGCTGATATATAGTACAATACTAATAATTCTTGAAAACATTAGCCTTAAGTGCCACTGCATTTTGTATTTATTTATTTATTTGGTACTGAGGATGGACCCAGGGTCCCTTTACCATTGAGCTACATCCCCAGTCCTTTTAATTTTTTACTTTGAAACAGGACTTCGATAAATTGCCCAGGCTAGTCTTGAACTTGTGATCTTCTTGCCTCAGCCTCAGAGTTGTCAACTCAGAGGGATTACAGGCGTGGACCACCATGCATGGTCATTATGCTTAAGAGAAAGAACCTAGTTACAAAAAGTGACATATCATAGATTTCATTTATCTGAAATATCTAGAATGGACAAATATCAGAAAAGAAAAGTACAGGGATGATGGTTAAGTATGGGGTTAAGTATGGGGTTTCTTTTGGGGGATAACAAAAATGTTATAAAATTAGACCACAATGATGTCTTCACTGTGATTATGCTGTGTGTAAATGTATAATTTATACATTCTAAATGGGTGAATTTGGGGATGAGGCTGTAACTCAGTAGTACAGCACTTTCCTAGCCTGTGTGAGACCCTGAGTTCAATACTCAGCACTGCATAAATAAGTAACTGAGTTTCATGGCATGTGTACTATATATCAAAAAATGTTTTAAAAAAACTTTCTAAAGTGCAGTGACTAGACCTAATATTTTTATGATTCTAAAGGCAACCCCAAAAAATTCAGCTTCAAATTCGTTTTTTAAGTTGTAAAAACAGAGTAAGCAAATAGTAAACAGAATAAATTAAGGTGAATACTTTGAAGCAAAAATTCATTTGCATAAATATGTACTGGCATATTAAATATAACTTTATACTCTATACTCGGGATGGGCACTCTTCCAAGAACAGAGTTCAGCAATGTTCCCATTTCTTCAAAGTGACAGATCTGTTGCTTGGAATATTCCCCCTCCTGAACAATCTCTCAATTGGCCCTAGAAGTGTTTCTGAAAGTTATGCTTCTCTACTGGCTTCATTTACAAAGGATTTAGTTTAGATTTCTGAACATTTATATACAGAATGGGTTTTATTTTCTTGATTTATGCAACCATTTTTTTGCATTTTTCCTTGTAATAAAGATGTATTTCTGAAATCAAGCTTATTTTGCTGTAATAAATCATTCTTTCAAGATCTGTATTAACTACAATCCTTCAGAAGACTGCAGGAATTTCAGTCTCTTTGTTGTGAAATGGAATTTAATTATAGAACATCCGACTTCCATTCTGCTGAAAGGTGTTCAGATCCTGAATTTCTAGTGCTGTTCTAAGCATGGCCACATTGTTATAGGGAGCACTTAGTCCCAAATTTTCCAGTAATGCATACCTTAAAAAATGGAAGCAATAATAGGATCCCTGCAAAATAAATGTTATGGTAGCACAGCTTTAGCACTAATGTGTCTGTAGCTTGAGAAGCCAAGATGTCATGAAATGAAAACCTCAATTATCTATTGGAGGAGTATTTTTCCCTCCAATTCCTGTTTAATGTATAGATAGAGATGTAAAAATACAAATATGGACACTATATGTAATGGCCAAAGGACAGTGATGCTGGATAAAATGAACATACACTATAACAATACTGTTCTACTGTAGGCCTGAACTTGATATAGCTACATTAGCTAAGTCCGCAGTATGTGTTTACCTAATAGTAGTTTTGTGGCCTTTAGAATTTAAACAGACCTCTTGGTGTTGGTTGCCTGTCTCTGCCTCTGTTGTAAGAAGCTTGGACTGATTCTTCTCAATGAGGCCCTTCAACTGGAAACCATTAGAAGCATTCATTCACTTTTTTTGTCATTTCTTTTAAAAAGAACAAGAATGAATTCAAATTATTTAAAGGTATCATTATAGACATGTACTGTGAAGATTTGTGGGTAGAAGACCTTGATTTCTTGTTGTTTTTCACTTGTTTGAGGCTACTTTTCATACTTTCCTCAACACCTCTGCCCTCCACCCACCATTAAGTCTTCACAGGAGGAATCAGGTGGGCAGCGGGGATCAGGAAAGAAGGACGGTAATCTCTTCCCTAACAGTGGAGCAGGAAGACAGTGAAAGTGGGCTCCCTGGGTCTCCCAAGCCTAACCACCTGGCTGCAGTAGCCACCAATGGTCAGCACAAGCCCTGAGAACTGAAGGTTCACTTGTACAGCTCTCATCAGCCATGAGTCACACGCTGTCAAAACACACAGCTGCAGTAAATATGCATAAATAACAGAAATGAATAAAAACTAAGTAAAGGCATCTGTAAGTCAACACAGCATTTGAATTATTCATTGAAAAACTACAAATCCCTTTTCTCTTATTTATTTTAAGAGGCACAGTCACTAGGAGGGACAAATTTGTCACCAATGAAAATGATGAGTTTTAAAGAACTGTGTTGGGCTCCATCTCACTGTGGATTGGATACACGGGCTCTGCCAATCTAAATGATCAGATTGTTTATGCATATAAACTCCACCTTCCTCAGATCACTCCACCAGTCATTAATTATCTACTTTTGATTCAGCTACTCATTTACACTAGTGAGGTCAAATCGTTTGTTTTCTGCCTCCTAGAGATGCAACCAGTGTTGGCACCCTAGATATCTGGAAGCCCTTTGAAATAGATATTCTACAACTAACATGCATTTCATTACAGAGTGGCTTGAGTGATTTTTTTTTGATTGATTACAATTTTATTTGTATTTTTTAGATCATTATAGATGAGCGTGCAGTTGCAAGAAATATATGGAGTGCTCAGTACACCATTTAGTTGGCTTGAGTGATTTATACAAACTTGGACATTGGCTTTGCTCCTTGTATGTTCATCTTTGTCAATGAATATCTTAAACATGGTTGAAATAATGAAATAGACTCCACCTTTAAAACAAAACACCAAAACTGAACTAAGAGAAATGTTGGCATTTGGTTTAGGGGATGGATGTCATAGCACCTGGCCTTCCTCCCTTCAGGATCACCTTCCTTACACCCCTGCTCCAATGCTGCATCATGATGAAACTTGCAAATCTGCGCTCCAAAAAGTGAGCCCAGTGGTAAAGCAATTACTCCCCCAGCACAGCCGCGGAATCCATTGCATAGTACTTGAATTTAATCAAGTCATTTCAAGCTAAATCTCAGTCTAGAAACTTGGTGTCTCACATGCCTTCGATGAGATGGATGGTGTCCAGTCTCACTTAGTGTTTCTGTATTGCCTCAATACTCATCGTTTTCTCTCCTTTACTTTAGAGACTTAACTCATCCAGTGTGGGGCTTACTATCTCTAGCTCTCCATCTCGTATTTACTGACAACTCACTTTGTAACACTCAGTTTTATATCTTCATTGGAACTAGGAAATGAATTTAATCTCACACTTTCCAAAAATCTACTGTGGTCATGGAGACTGGGGCCAAAGTGGTTGGGGTTTTGTGTGCCTGAAAGGAGCCAGGGTTATTCTTCGACCGCTAATGACTCTTCCAGATCAAGGAGCTCCTGTCCAGCCTTTGAATTTTCCCAGAAAAGTTCCCAGCCTGCCTGTCAGGGATAATCAGGGATGTCTCCTAATGCCTGGGATGTAGTCTGTCCAGCACACTTGGATTCCTGCAGCTGCTCTTTGGCAGAGAGAAAAATCTAGCAAATGAAAACAGCCAAAGCCCAGCAGCATGTGGATCGAAGCTCCCTGATACTGGGCCATTCTGTCGTGTTTTATCAGCTTTCCATTTTTAAGGTTGAAGCTGAATGGAGTTTTGATTCTGTTGTGTCCTTTGTTCAAGATGGCTAGAGACAACTGTAATACCACTGCAGCGAGTGGAGGTTTCAGAGGAGAGTTGGACACGGGAGATCAGGCACTCTGATTCCTTGTTTTAGCAATGAAAACCTACTACAGGGAGTCAGAGAAAGAGCTGAGACCAGAACCCAGCTGTGTCTGTCTTTATTGCTTCTCCCAAACTTGGGACCACGTCTGCTGGGTATGGTAACACTTAACAAGACAGAAGAAAAGGAGGAGAGGAGAGGGAAAAACAGAAAATATTTAAATAAAATGGAAATACTATTTTGTTCAAACTGCAGGCAAACATTTTCCTGTAGTTCTTAAAAACACTTCTGATCTTATAAAAGCAAATTAGAATAAGAGAGTAACATGCTCCAGGGAGATCTTTGTGGCAGTGGGATGGTTATGTGTTTTGATTGTGGTCCTGTGCCACTCTCAGCCCTTAGAACACAGGTCCTAAGCTAGCCAGGGTGACTTAGCAAGACCCCACCTCAGACATGGCATCAAACTGTATGCATACATTGTACCTACGTCAATTTCCTGGTTTTGCTATTGTTCTATAGTTTCATAAAGTGTAACCACTGAGGACCTCTCTATATTACTTTTGTAATTTCCTGTGAATCTGATTATTTCAAAATAAAAAGTTTTTTTTCTTTTGAAAAAGGCAAATTTGAGATTCACTGTGCTTTTTTTCTAAATATAAAACTATGTTTAACATCTGAATAGGTAATAAGTGAGTAAACATGACTTTACTCGCCCTATATTTTGAGCTACCTCATGAAAAAAAATATGAAAAAAGAAAAGTGTTCTCTTTTGTAGAAGATATGTCTCCAGAGAATTGAGTAGAATTGCTACCCCTGTTAGTGCCTTTTTAAGGACGACCAAAAATTTGACTTATCTATTCCATGAATGTGGATCTTTTGATATCGTGTTGATGTCACATGCCGATATTACACTTGGTGAAATGTCATTTGGACTGACTTGCTTTTAGGAGACTTCTCTTACTTAAATTTTATTTTTTAAATTTTTAGTTATTGAATCCAAAACGCTTCAAGGAAGCAAAGGAGAACACAGCTTTAACAGCCCTGGAGTTTTTGTTGTAGAAAACACAACAGTTGAATTTCAGAAGGGCTCAGAGAGGCAAACCTTTAAGATTCCAGGACCTCTGATGGCAGATTTCATCTTCAAGGTAAGACAATCTGCTTCAAAATCTTCATGCACATGAATCCCAGAACTTCTTGATTTTTAAAAACAGCAAGTTTGGAGCTGGTGGTGCCCACCTGTTATTCGAGGTATTCAAGTAGACTGAGGCAGGAGGATCTCATGTTCGAGGCCAGTCTGGGCAACTTTTAAATAAATATCAACAAAAAACAAAAAGGGCTGGAGACATAGGTCAGTGGTAGAGCACATACCTTTGCATGTTCCAGACCATGGGTTTAATCCCCAGTACTGGGAAAAAAAAAAAAAAAAACAAGCTTCCAAAACAATAATAATTAAACAACAACAAAAGCCAAACAGTTTGTTCAGCAGGTGATCATATGGAGCACATATCATCAATATTTATGTCTTAACAATCCATTCCTAATTTTTTTTCATCCTCAAGTATCTGCTCTCAAGTATTTGTTCCTTAGCCCTGAGAGCTCAGAAACTACAGACTTCACTTCTATAAAGGAAAGAATTGATATTGTAAACTCCAGTGGCCGAGCTCAGTTTTAAATCTCAGGATGGTTTTTGGTGGAAATAGATGAGGGTTGGACCCACCATCCCTGCAGAAAGGAGCAGAGGACAGATGGAAAAGAGTCTCATCCCCGTCCTGTTCCCTTTTATTCTCACCCCTGAGAGTTTGCAGTCTCTCAGTGGCTGACTCTGATCAGGGCTTCCTCCCTCAGAGTATGTTTTCTGATGAGTGCCTGTCATAAGGTGCCCTCAGAAGAGCTCTTCTTTCCTGGAACCATCAGCCTGTGCCCCTCTCTGGGAAAGCTGGGACATCTTCCTTCAGAGGACAGGAAGTGTAGTGACCAACCTCTTTCCAAGGACACACAGTAGGACACACTTCTGATGAATCTGAAAATGCCAAAGACATGAAAAGAAAATGAGAGTTCAGTGGGTAGTTTTGCCCTCTTCCTTTTCAGAAAACTCATTCCAAAATGTAAATGGGAGAGAGAAAATTGTTCTAATTGCCAGTGAAACCTTTATGTATGAAAAAAGCCCATTGCCTACAAAAGCACTGTCTGCATTCCACTTACTAATTTGTCAAAGAATGTTCCATGGAGGCATCAGTTATATTGACAAAGCACGAGATGGGGAAGTAAATGAAAGCTTCCAACTGATCCAGATTTCTGAGATCCAAGCCAGCCCACAGTGTGACCTGCCAAGTGTCAGCCTGCACAGTGGTGCTATTTTTGTTTTTTGTTGGTTTTGAAACTTTGGATTTTAAATGGTCAACACTGAAAAGTCAAGAGATTCTTATATAAAAATATCAGGATTTTTTTTCCTGTTTCTCTTTAAAAATGGGAAGACCTTGCATTTTATCATAGCAATTGTTGGCTGCAGCTAAGAAGCAGCTGCCTTCTAGTTGGGCCCTGGGTCTTGTTTGCCATGGTCCGCACCATTCCCTGTTTTGCCTCCTAACATTACAGTGTTGGTGGCCGTTGATCCTGCTTCCAGCATTTATATATCTGCCTGGCTTCCATAGACACTTACGTTTGTCACTTCTGTGTCAGATTCACAAAGCACCAACCCAATATTTTTCATTGACAGTCATATTGTAAAAGATTTGGGAGGGAGAGCCATAATTATATCCTCTTATTCTCTCTGGTTCATTCCTATAGCATAAATTCTATACTTGTTTTGCTTTTCTTAGTTTTTTTCTGTTTTATTCTTAAGTAATAAACACTTTTTTTTCCTCTTTCTCTTTTAATTGCTACTCAGAGTCTCTGTATTCTTAAGTCAACATGAAGGTTTCCGATTGAGTAGGAGACATTTATATGATGATAGGAGGGGGGAAATGCCCAAAAGATGAGTATTTCAAGATACTGGTTATAGCATTGGCTTAGATAGGGCTTGATGGTGTCTTTTATTGATGCCATGTATGAAAACATGATACACATCAACTATGTATTTCTACAGGTTGTGAACCCATGTACATGTGTATGGTGTGCATACCTCTTTTAATATTTGGAAGGACATACCCTATAAGAAAATAATAGCAATTATTTCAGAGGGGATAAATGCTTTGGGGAAATGGTCTTAGTGTCACTTATAATATCTAACTCTTAAAATAATTTCGATTATTATACACCTTCTTACACAAATTACATATTCATCTCTTAATAGTATACATTTTAACAATGTGCTATCCATATTGTCTGAATTACTACTCGATCCTCTATATTCCTGTCTCTGATTCCTGGCTTTCTCAGACTTAATAAACAGCTCTGGACTTAAGCTTCAACTTCTGGAAAGTGTTTGAGCTCTCCAGACTGAAAAAGTGGCTTTAAAAATATATTTACCAAAGAGGGCGTCACACACAACTGACTCATATATAAATAGAACCCCCTTTTCGTGCCCACAGGCATTTTCTTTCATGGACTTGGTGGGCTGGGTGGGAGGGAATTTGGCAAAATTGGAGACACTTGGGATGAAGTAAGACTGACTGTGATGTTGTTTTTCCCTGACCTGGGAGTTGTCCACATGATGTGTGTTTCTAGGAAATATCCTTTTCCATCAGTTGCTTTTTGTTTTTTTGAACACATTTTAGTGTTGTCCAGCCTGTGTTGTTGCTAAGACAAGGAAATCTTTGCTTCCATTCACATTCATCTCTTCCTAGCTCATCCCACAATTAAGGGATGGCTGTCCTTAATTGACACCCATGTCCCCATATACACTATGGGGAGGGTAATAGTGTATATGGGGACATGGATGACAGTCGCCCTATGTTCTATGTCAGTAGACCAAGAGCTCTTGATCTATAAAAGGGTAACAAGCTGAGAGGATGAGGCAGCCAAGACCAGCCCTTGACAACTCCATGTTGTTTAAGCCTAGCTGGTGCACTTAGCTGTGTAGACATATACCTTCATACAATTTATGTGGTAGGCTTATTTCATGGACTTTTAAGTAAGTGTGCTATTGTAAATGACTACATTCTCACATGTAAACTATGTAGATATCAGTGGACCAATTGTCTTGTAGTTATGTTGCTCAGATTCAAAATTTTAGCAGCTTACTGAATCAATAAAAAAAAATGAATTTCTTGTTTCTGTTCTTTAAGAAGCTATATTTTCATGTTTGGACCTTCCTCGAATATTGTCTCTTTTATTCTTTCAAATGAATTTCTCACTATATAGTCTCGCCTTCCTGAGTGACCTGTTTCTCATGGATGGCTTGTCACACCCTTTGGTGCTGGGGGTAGTCAGAGCCTGTATTATTGTTTGCTCCTGTAATATGTGCATGTTGCCACCAGGTAGCAGTAGAGAGTCTGGACCAAGTTGATGTTCTGTGACAACTATGAGAGACACTATGTTCAGTGAGAATTTACTGAACATTTTACATCTGTGAGTAGATGTTGGTAAATATCAATTTTAAGCATATGTCTCTGATAATAGCTAATAAAATTAAGCTAAATGGCTTTCTTGAAGACATCTCTTTCTGTGGTTAATTTTTAACTCTAGCTAGTAGCTTTTCTCCTCTTAAAACATTTATGATCTTGTAGGGCTGGAGGATCTGTCTTCTTTGTGGCCTGAAATCTTCCTTTTTCTGCCAGATGTCTTCATAGGGAGTAATTTTTCTTCCATTCATATACTTTGTGTTTTCTGATTGCTTTTCCACTAGTTTTCAGCTATTCAAGCTCCGTCTCCAGTTTCCTCCAACCTCAGCTCCGATATCTTTTATGCTTTTCCAGAAGTTATGGTGGCATACCTAACTTACCCAAGGACCGGAGGAATCTGAAACTACCTGTTTTACTTCCTCTCAATACAGTCCCAGGTGTTTTGAAACATGGCAAGACAGTTTTAGAGTCAGTGCCTGCATGAGATTCCTGAGGCTGCTATACCAGAATACCACAAACGGAATTGCCTAAATACCGCAATTTATCATTTCACAATTCTGAAGTCTAAATGTCCAACATAAAGGTGTTGGCAGGATTGATTCCTTCTGAGGCCTACAAGGGAGGATGTGTCTGATGCCTCTTTCCTCAGTTCTTGGAACTCAGCATTCTCCCTCTGCCTTCACACCACTGCTCTGTGTGTGTCCACTTCTGTGTCCAAACCCACCCTTTTATAAGGACACAGTCATATTGGATTGAGGCCCACTCTAATGTCCTTAACTTAACTTGATCACATCTGTAAAGACCCTTTTTCACATCATATTCTGAGATACAGTGGGCTAAGACTTCATTCTTTTTGGGGGGACACAATTCAACCAGTAACAGAGCCAACAGAAAGGGAAATTTAGGTATTTCATAGTCATCTCAATCATCCATCCCATCCTGTTTCCCAGTAATCACAAAGGTAGAATGTGGTCTGTTGAGGGAAATTCCTTGGTTAAAGCGTTTCAATAACTATTCTACTAGCTACCAGAATTCGTGCATGCGCACACACATACACACATATACACACACACACACATGTATGTGTATATTTTCAGTTTTATGTTAAAATCTCTTATGTGTGTGTGTCTGTGTGTGTGTGTGTGTATAAAAACATACACATATATATTCAGTGGCAGTAAATGGGTCTTTTTCCGGGGAAGAAAGGTAAGACCAATGATATTTGAAGACACTTTATTTGGGGGGCGGGTACCAGAGATTGAACTCAGGGACACTCAACCACAGAGACACATCCCTAGTCCAATTTTTTGTAATTTATTAGAGATAAGGTGTCACTGAGTTGCTTAGCACCTTGCTGTTGCTGAGGCTGGCTTTGAACTTGAGATCCTCCTGTCTCAGCCTCCCAAGCTGCTGAAATTACAGGCGTGTGCCACTGTGCCCAGCTTGAAGACACTTTTAATAAACCTTTAAAGAGCTACCTGTCTTTTGAAGATGATCACGTGAAGAGCTATATTGAACGAGATTTTATTAATTGTACATATTCCAAATGTCAGTAGTTTGTATCATAAGGAACACATGGGTTGACTAATTTCTCCAGAGCCACATTATTGGAAATACTGTAATTTGTTTAATTTTGCCAAAAT